TGTGTTCATTTAAGTATTCAGCAAGTCTCTTAAAATTTATTGGAAAAAATAAAAATGCAAAATGAAAGTTATCTATTTTCTGTTTAAGTAAGTCGCAACTTAGGTGGGTCTGGGTAGGCTAGGCAGGTGCCTAGGCGGTCTAGGTGGGTGCCTCAGTAGGTCTAGGTGCATTTTCTTAACTTTCGAACGCCTAGACATTAATTAGGGCAGTGGCCAGTGGCCTAGTGCCTAGGCGACGCTAGGTGAAGATTTTTAGAACAGTGCATATAATACGCATATTAAGCATGTAAGTATGTACTTTTTAAGAGAGATTATATTCACACACTCAAATTACTTTCCCACAAGCTTTTAATTTTTTAATATTTTAATATTTTTCTATCAAGTGTAAGTGGTGTGTAGAGGATTTGGATCCCATCCAGATCCAAATTGTGAGGATGTTCATCGTATATCGTGCGGTCATAAATTATTTTAAATTTTAAATATAAAATTAAACATAAATAGTACTTAACGAAAATTGATTGCACGATATACGATGAACGGCTAGAATGTGAGGATCCGGAGAGGATCCTCACCTGTGTGTAGAATATAAAAAAATATTAAAAAAATAAAAAGTGTGAGGGAAGTAGTTTGGATGTGTTAATATAATCTCTCATTTTTAGAATACTTCTGTGTTTCATACATATTTTAATAATTCTTTAAATTGCACTTTTTTTAACTCTCGAACGTAACACACATGTATTATATATGTACATACATACTTTTCATGTTTAATATACGTTATATTTTTGGATAATACAATTACAGTTCACCTTTTTTATATGTATATATATATATATATATATATTATTGAAGAACTAGAAATTACTAAATATTTTAAATAATTAAATTTTAAATTTTAAATTTGAAAAATAGCCCAAATGTCAAGAAGATATTTTTAGCAAAATTATCAAATAATACACATTTTTTTACTAACTATAAGATCCGAACTGTGTAAATCTTCTCTCAATATATTTTTTGTAGCCACTTTAGGAACAGTAGTCGTCCTCCTGACCAGATCAATTGCATCTATCCACCAGCGATACCATCCGACAGCATTAGCAACTTTTCAAAGAGGCTTTTGGCAGGGTGTATCTTTCGGAACCAAAGGATTTTCGCCAAATCTTCTTTAGGATGATTTTGAGAATTCTTCAATTACATTCATTTATCATATATTGTGTAATTAAAAATTATTGTAAATTTTATTTACTTAAAATTGAATATAAACAGTACCTAATAAAAATTGATCATACGATATATAATGAATAAATATGATTGAAAGATCCTTGATATCCTTAAAAAGAGAATACAACGAGAATCTCTTTTCTTTCGGACCACCACTTTTTCATACCCTACTTTTTAACACTTTAATTTGATCGACATTTTCTATCGACATTTTATGTCGAGAAATAGAAAAGACAATCTTCTGTCTGCCTGAAAAAGTTCCATGTCATCGATTTTCACTGTTTTGAGTGAAGTTTGCGCTAATTAAAATGCTGGATTAGGATGCAAGTAGGTCCTTAATTAATAGTGCATTTTGGTCATGTAGCGCACCATAGGAACATCGCATGTGTGATCACTGATCACCGAAACTAGTGTTCCTGATAAAATATGAGTTATATGGACAATATAGCTGGTTTAGCCAACTCTCATCATTCGTTTAATATGTATATATATGGGAAATTTTAATGAGACTTTATAAAAAATAAGACCTTCATAAACTCTTATCTCATATTTTAGCACAATGTTTTATGATGTTGGTATGAAAATTGACGTTAAACTGTGAGATGATAAATAATTCATACGATGAATCCCACTTTTGAGAGAATCTTCTTAGCATTTTTCATATATATACATGTGCACACACAAATATATATAAAGTTGGGCAAGAGGTTAAAACCGTGCGCTCAACCCTAGATGTTTATTGGTTTGGTTTAATTATATCACAACCAGAAAGGATGCAGCTCCAGGCTCAGAGACAGATCAAGTCAGAGATGGAAGAGGAGTTTCATTGTTTAGAGGAAAGGAAAGCATCATTAATATTCTGCGTGGATACATACGGAGGTAACGCAGTAAGCTTTCTGTAACTAGAAAATGATTCTCTCTATACGTACATGCATATATATATATGTATGTATGTATGTATATAGTATATCGATGGCCTGTGAGTAATACATGAAACTGATCGTATCTTTTGTCCGAGAATTAAAAGATCATCGGAGAGAGCCTGGACTCTGCTCCGGAAGGAATATTATTGCTATATATTTCTTGGGTTGTATCACATGCATTCTTATCTTTTAGTTAATATTAATTATATATCTTTCTCCTATAGCAGAGGCTAGTGGTTACTTCGTTATCTTTCAAGCTAATTTGTGAGAGTTCCACATAATAAGATCCATACTTCATTCCCAAACTTTTATCCTTACTTGTCCACCAGCAGATTTCTGCAGGTTCGGCATGTAAATGGCCATTTCTTATTGATGACCTCTCTCGTTTTAAATAAATACAAAAGTTCATATTAACCTCTTCTTTTTTCAATTTAATTTTTTTATACATTCTCTCTTTCTCTCTTTCATTTGAAATGTAAAAGTTTGAATCTTTTTTTATACATTCTCCCACATATTTTTCTCTTGAAAATGAGAACTAAAAACTAAATCCAGAACAGACCCTTATTTTTGTATGTCAGTTCCAGCCAAGCATGCCACGGATGTCAGTTACTTTATACTGTTAGGCATGGAAATCTATTGATTTGATTAGTCCCCTCTAACATACTATAGACTGCTTTTATATCCGCCTCTAATAAAATCTATCTTTGGAGCCATTTTCTAGTAGTGGCAACACAATCGATCCATACGGCTAGAATTGCTGGGTTTTGTTCCGGTTGTAGTGTACAACTTAATCTATGCATTCTAACCTGGTGGCAATACAACTGATATTTTTACTTTTTTTGTGTGTGTTTTTGCGCTGGTGTATATATACATTTTAGACAGATACGATGTTTTGATTCCAAGAATTATAGAAATAATATATCTGTAAGAATCTTTTCCACAGGGGAGAGAAGGACAGGACCACGCTGATTGTCAGTTCAAAGGTCCGCCAGAAATAGAGCGTTTACACTGCCACAAATTGCAGCAGCATATAATATGAATCGTGCTATACGCACATTTATATTTTGGTTAATTTCAATTTACTATCTTGAAATTTCATGGTTTTCAACATTTGCTACATGAAGTTTTTTTCATTCCAGAGTTATACTTCAAGTCTTAATTTTGGGACAGTTTCATATATTCGTTAAGCTTTCCGTTAAAAGTTCTGTTAAATGATGAAGTGGCGCACACGTGAACAATAACTAAGCGTCACGTATCAATATGAGTCCTACGTGAATTTAAAAAATACAAAAACACAAAAAATAAAAAAATGGGCGTCTTCTTCAACCCCAGACGCACTTCCGATACCCAACCCCCAGAAACTCCCACCCACCCCAAAACTTAACGGATGTTTGAAATTGTCCCAAAATTAAGACTTGAGGTATGACTCTGGGATGAAAAAAATTTCATGTACCAAATGTTGAAAACCATAAAACTTCATAATAATAAACTGAGATTAATCTTTTATTTTTTTATTTTTACACGTTTGTGTTAATTTATTTTTTAATTTTTTTCAATCATTTGATCTTAAATTCGTAAATTAAGAATAATGTATGAAAAGTAAAAAGAGTTATAATATCTCTTCTTGTACCTCCGCCAGTGTAAATAATAAGTTTTATGTTAAAGTCTGCTACCAAATACCTACCTAGCTACATCCGTAAGACCAGTGCTATATAGTACATGTATGCGCAAGGGATAATAACTTCTCTTCTCCTCCTTTATATTGCTGATGTTGATCTGAAAACCAAACCCAACTTTCAATCGCAATTCCGGGTACCAAGTGTCTCTATAATATTTATCTAATTACTAATATGGTATGCGCATGTTTACTTGCTAAGAATTAGAAATGGAATCATTTTGAGATGACAACAATTTTACCTTTTAACTTTTCTACATGTTTACTAACACATATGAAATTAAAATGTGCGAGTATACTCTAAAAATCCATAATCAAATATCTAAAAATTATGATCCCCTTCCTTACTTCATCTATTTCTACATCTCTAATTCCTTCCTTTTCCCATTTCCATTAAGTAAGCATGTCCATGCCCTCACCTCTTAACTTTCTCATGTGTTATAAACATGGAACCAGAAAACTGTTAGTTTCCTATTAAAATCCTTGATCATACCTAAAAACAAAGCAAAAAAACAGATGAACTAGGGGACTAGTTGATTCTACTCCCCTTCCTTCTCTTATTTTTAAGGTCTCCCTTGGATAAAGTTAGGTTTCCACAATTAAAACCAATTGGCTAAATAGAGAGTCGCTTAATTTTCTTATAAGCTAGCCCATGCAAAGTCTATTATCTCATTAATGTGAGATTAATTCTCAACATCTCTTTCTTTATTTCTCCTAATTAAACCCTATCCTTAATGAATCCAATCAAGAAAAATAGTAATTGAGAATTGTTTATGTAATTTTGGTAATGCATAGTGTCTTTATATGATCATATGATATGCCCTAAATCTTGGGCACAAATTTTGCTTCTTGTCTAGCAACTTTGACTTATAACCAAAACCTAAACGTTCATGTGCTAATCACAAATCCAAAGAGGAAAGTAGCACATTCAGGAGCATTTCATGCCATCAATCAACATGTACACTACTCAAAGAAACAGCAAACTAGTATATGCAACGCAACTAGTTAGTTGTGATCATATGATAGTAGTAGAAAAATCCATCACGTAATAACCATTAATTTCCCAGAGCTAGTAATTATACAAGCTTTAACACAATACTAATCAGCTGCAAGAACGAAAGAAAGCAGTACATGTGATGAAGCAGCTAAACTAAAATAATTCCAACAAAAACACACAAAAATAACTAATTAATTAATATATTGCGATTCGTGAATCATACCCTTAATCACTGATGATATCCGTTACAATGCAAGCATTGATTTCACTTATTCTTTCCTGAGTCCGAATGGTGATACAAATAGTGAGCCCAGATACTGAAAATCTGATTAAATTATTAATTAATAGTTCCAAAGATTTTCTCCGTCGGAATTTTCAGGCGAATTGTCGGAAGAGATCCTGGGCGGACTCACCAGCATTCCCTCCGCCATGTCCACCAGCAAATTCGGCATATTCAAAAGCGCCTCCTCATCCATAAACTCCTCCTCCTGCTGGCCCACCACCCCACCAACACCCTCATTATCAACACTACCCGGCTCCGATCTCCCTCCGCTCTCCCTCTCCCGGGGAACTAACTTATTTGCCCTCGACTGTGCTGCCCTAGCGGCCGCAGATCGTATGTCACTCGCGGCGGAGGAAGCCGGTATCGGGTACGTAAGAATCGAGTTGGGGAAGTTCAAGGGAGTATCAGGCCCTTTCAGAGCGATCGCCGCCACGTCGTACGCAGCCGCCGCCATCTCTGGCTTAGGGTAAGTGCCAAGCCATATCCTTGTAGTCTTACGTGGCTCCCGAATCTCGGACACCCATTTCCCGTTCCGACACCGGATTCCCCGGTAGACTGGATGCCCTTTCGGCGAGCCTGATGTCGAGCCTCCCGACTGGGACGGAACGCCCAGTCTCAGGGATGAGGAGGAGGAGGAATCGTCAGGTAGAGTTGATGTGGGAGGGTTAGGAAGAGTCGGAGGAATTTGTATAAAGGGATTGGGATTGGAGGTTGTAGTTGGTTGGTCAACTGGGGTTTTGGGCACGTTGCTATACGGATCGGCCATAAGTATAATCTACATACAATTTTTCTTTGCATGTATGTATTTATATATATGTGAATTCATGGCCAAATGCATGTCACGATATAAATATTAATGAATTGTAACGGATATGTGAGATGATCATCCTATTTATATGTGAAAAATGGGAGTTTGTTTGTTTTTGTATGAAGCGTGGGAAAATCGCGGAGCTTTTGCTGGCTTTTTAAATCATTTTGTGTGACTAAATAGGACTAATCATGATTAAGAATTAATACTTTATGAGTGAGAGATGGTGTTGAAATTGAGAGATTTTTCAGTGTGATCGGCACACAAGGTAGTACACCATGTGTCATTATGCGTATGGTGGGATATGTGTGTTAAAAAGTTAATAACTTAAAAAATAAAATTTCCTACCACTTGCACAAAAACACATAATGTACCATTCATATTCCTGTTGTAATAAAAAATTACAGAGGAAACATGTATTAAGCCCTCAAGCAGTCTCCTATAGCAGCTAGAGATTAGCTGTTGTGGACCTGGTCATTTAATCAAGATCTTCCCCTTGAAATTTAATTAGTATTATACTTATAATGTAAGACGTGTTGTGAGATATGGGGGGTGATATTCATAATTTAATTGCATCATGCTGACCACTTTCTCAGCATCTACACCGCACTCTTTGTTTTGCTTGACTGTACGGATGCCATCTGCACCATTAACAATTGTCTAGTTTTCTTTTTAACATAAAAAAGAGAATAGAGTGTCCAAGGTGAATTTTCTTTGACATAATAAAGTGCTATTTTAAATTACATTATTGCTAGTAATTCATATTCCTTCTTTTAGTGCAAATGATCTTGTTTGTTCATAAAAAAGAAAAAATAAATAAAGTGGATTTTTTTTTTCTTTTGACATAATAAAAGGTGAACATATTTTAGTGGGATACTATCTACTTTTCTGTTGTGGGAATATTTTTGTTCACTACCCTTAAGTGATTGTGATACTTATTATTAGAACTAAATTCATGCACCACCGTAATAGGCGAAGATGCACAAATTCGATAACCTATTAATGAACAACTAACGGTAAACAACCAAGGACCAGGGGTGTCAGCCAAAGACTCTCTGACAGTCAATTTAGTAAGCAAATATATGAGACTCAAGCAGTAGCCAAGAGAATAAGTGTGTGACAATTGCGTTTCCAGAAATGAACTCTAGAATGGTGTATCTATACCAGTTGAGATAGGGACCTTTTAGGCCATGGAATCCGTATTATACCGTGAGTATCGCAAAGGATATCTAGGAGTAGTTATTGCATTCTCTTAGAGTATGATTACTTGCAGTGTACAAATTTTAAGGATTCCAAGAATATAGGAAACCTAGCTGATTTCTTATTAGATCAGTTTTCTGTGTCTTGCAAAACAAACATGATCAATCTCAGGGAAGTTGTTGGAATTTGCATACTGTTTCGCAAGACACCTAAATCTGATCCAGTAAGGAATCAGTTAGGTTTCCTTTATTCTGGGAATCCTTACGATCGAATAATTGGCGTGCAGCACAAATAATCATACTTCCAAAATGATGCAATATCTACTTTTAGATATCTTATGGGATTTTCCCGGTTTAATGCAGGTTTCATATCAAAAAATATCTTTATCTTGACTGGTATAAATACACTATTTTAGGGTTGTTTGTGCTTTTACAGGTTATCGAGTTTGTGCATCTCCACCCTTCATGAAAGTGCGCAAAATTGGTTCCAACACTCACCACCTTGTTTATTGTCATTACATAAGTTTAAATTTCTAGATCTGTGTAGTGGATAGACACAAATTTTAAAATTTAAACTCATCCAACAGTGATAAATATGATCATGAACATTAACCCCAATTGAAGGTGGTGGGCAAAAATGCACCATCATCTGGTACCTTTTTCTACTTACCATCTCCATTCATTGATTGCTACGTAGAAGCCACTATCACTTAAAAATTAAGTATTTAATTTTTAAAAATGATTATTTCATTCACCAAAATCCTAAAAACAAAAATTAAATGTCAAAGCTTGACCACCGTCCAACTCTTCTTTTTTTTCTAATGCATGTTCATGTGCTTTCAAGTTTCAACTACCAAATTGAAAAAAAAAAAAAAACCAGAAAAACTCGACCCACCAGATTAGTTTTGGACCCACATTAACGAAAACAAACCATGATACGAAAAAGCTAAAATTCGTCAAAAAAAAAAAAAAATTGTGGCCAATTCCGTTGAGCAGTTGTCAACCCATCCACTCATCTCTCTATCACTCTCCCCCCATCCTCCTGTTTCTTTTTCTTTTTTTGTTCTGAAGGGGAAAACCTAGGCAACGGGTGGATGACTTCACCACCACCCAAACTTGTAGCATTTTATACATCCATGAGCAGTAACAAAATTCATAAGTGAAAGACTCAAAATCTCAGATGTTTTTTAAAGTGGAATACGAGTAATCTGTTCCAGAAAAGAAAACTCCATTGATGTCTTTAACTTAGCTAGTCGCTTGCTGCCTAGAGGGAGGAAGTCGAAGAGTGAGCGAGTGAGTGAGAGAGAGAGAGACATTGACGGGTGAGTGGCCTGGCCTTATTAATCTGTTTTCTTTTCAATTCTCAAATGCATTAAAGTTAAAAGTTCAAGAATAGAATTTATGATTTTAAAGCATTAACTTTGTAGTTTAATCTGATAGTGGAAATGGTGAGTGGGAAAGACAAGTAGAAAATGCAAGAAGAAAAGGTACCTGGCATCCCTCTATATTTTACTCGATTTTCTTTTGATGCTGCTTGTTAGACTAAATCTAGTGTTTCAAATGAAAGAGTCAGGTCTTGTATGTATGATCGTAACTAAGCAATGTTTAAAACTAGGGATGGACAATGGTTATGGCGGACGGATAACCGCAATTATTTACCCATAACTGTTTATATTCATACCCACATAACCGTTTACCCGTTGGGTAATTGCATAAACGGTTATACCCATACCCATAACCATTTATAAACGGTTAACCATATCTATAACAGTGTACCCATTTAACCATAACCGTTTACTCATTTAACCATAACCATTTACCCATTTAACCATAACCATTTACCCGTTTACCAGTTTTTGAACCTGTTTATCATTTTTTTTATCTATTTATCCTTTTTTTCACCCGTCTACATGTTTTTTTTAATAACTTGAAAATTACAAAAGAAAAATTTGTCATAATTTTCATTTTATGACAATTAAACACTGTTATAGGTACATTTTAGCATGCATTTCCCTATTGTAATCATTTAAGTCCTCATACAATTCCAATAATTGAAATAATAGTTTACGAACAATATTTTTTTACTACACCCAAGAAAATCTTTAATTATAATCTATATGATTACAAAGTAAAACTTATAAAAACAAAATGTAGTCATTATCTTGAATACTAGATGATTCTAAGCTGCAAAATAAGGTCAATTAACTTTGTTAGTTGTAACTTTATGGTAAAGTTAAAAGAACTAAATGCTTCTTTCTTAACTTGAACACAACCAGGTTCCAAAGGTACAGAATATCAATTGGTTCACAATCTTCCACATTTTTCAAATATTCCACAAGCACTTTTTTCCATCGATATTTTCTCCTCCAAATAATCAAAACCAATAAAAATTCATCTCAGGTTCTCAATTCCAACTTCATGGTAGCAAAAAATTGACGTTAATTCTAATTTGACTTTTCAATTACGGTTTTTAATTTTACATATATTAAATTAAATGGGTAAATAAATACATGTTATAACCGCGGGTAATACCCATAACCGATGGATATCATTTATAACCATGGGTAATATCCATAACCGCCTATTTAAATTTCACGGATAAATGGTTATACCCATAACTGTTTGTTTGTCAAAACGGTTACCCATAACCGTAACCGTGAATTTTAAATGGGTGGATAACCGCAGTTACCCAAACCCATGAGTATTTTGCCCATCCCTATTTAAAACTTATTGTATAAGAGGTAATTCAATTGAGCTAAAAAAATTCATTATCACCATTTACTAAGGTCAAATTAAACACATTTAACATACCCAACCTCAAATAAGTGCATGGTAGCAAATCACAAATTAAGACGGGATAATGAAAGTGATGGCATGTTATGTCTAAATGGCCTACGATTATCCTTCACATGGCTAATTTAGTAGCCAAGTCATTATCCACAGTGTGTCAAGAATTCGACATAGTGTATCAGTTGTATTATGACATTTAATATGATAGACCGTGTTTTTTGCACACTAAATAAATCTCGTCTCACCTGTTAATTTACCAACTCCTAAATTATCTTTGTCATCACCTTTCAGTTTTATGTAAGAAAAGAAAAGAAACAACAAATGAAAAGAAGAAAAAGCTATTAGGTTGTGAAACCAATATCTTAAGATATATCTCTAAATCCACAAAACACCAAATCCCATTTTTCATGGGCACAAGAGACCCACATTTACACTATCAACAATTAAAAAAAGAAAAAAACTACATACCTCTTCCCTCTCCGACCGTTAAAAGTTAGTTTCCTTATCTAAAAGTTAGTTTCTCCGTCTAACACAGGTCTCTTCTCTCATCTCGTCCATGGAGACCATTCAATCATCAAGCTTCCCAATTTTCCGCACCAACCCAGTTTTCCTCACCCCCAAGCCTCTCAGACCCTCAAAGGTTTCCATCAAACCTCCACCGCCGGACTTTGATTTCAGGTCAGAAATTTCGGTGGACTCAAGAGCCACAATAGCCAGAACGCACCCTGAACTGCTTGATTTGGCTGAGAATGGGAGCTTGTTCTTGATCGAGAAGAGCCGGTTCGGTCCCGTCCCGGCATGGAGGGCAGAGTTCGTCGAGCCGGAGGCCATCTGGTTGGTCGGAACCAATCATATTTCTCAAGACTCTGCGGTGGAGGTCGAACGCGTGGTCCGGGCAGTGAAGCCGGATAATGTGGTGGTGGAGCTATGTAGAAGCAGGCAAGTGTGACTTGGAATTTAATCTCAAAATGTTACATAGTTACAGTAGCAATCGTTATTTTTTAGGTTAATTGTAGCAATGTTCATGAACTATACCCTGAGT